CCCAAACACAGTTTCGGATAAGCTGACGAAACGTGCGAACCAAACGGTACGGCGACGTTTTCAAAACACCGCCCGCACTTATAAGTTGCCCCAAACGGACATATCTACCGTAGGCAGCCATAGGCATAGCTTGTTTGAATATTGCTCAAATCTGATTTGAATCTCATTTAATTTTTTTCCTCGAATATGATTCAAATCTTGCTCGAACCATTTTCATTTGCAACAAACAATTAAATAAATAATCTATAGTTAAATTATAAGATGTTTGGTCTAGAATGAATTTTAGATCATATTTTTCAAACAACATAAATGAAGAACACAGTTCACACATTAGCCCAATTATAACGCACATAAATGTTTAATTTTTCAAATAATAATAATAATAATTATTTACAAACATATCACTCAATTCTTATACAATTTAAATGTTTAATTTTTCAAATAATAATAATAATAATAATAATTTACATAATTATCACTCAATTCTTATGCAATCATATATGTAATACCTAATTTTAATTTTTAGATCATGTAATCTTGTATGCATTTCTCTGCTTATAAAAGATAAAATGGCGGTAATAAGAATTGTTTGTTATCGTCAGTTTTGGTCACGTAAAAAAGCCCATAACTGGCTCACATTAATTGGAGCTGGAGAAAGCGTTTGTCCAAGGAATAAGCGTATCAAACCTCTGTAAAAAGATTGCTGGGCACGGAACCAGCAACGACAAAATGAGTAGTTCCGCTCTCTATCGCCCCTCACACATCTCGTGTTCCTTTCGCCGGAGTTGCCCGTCGCATCCACTTCCTCGCCGCCGGTTGAGCTTCTTCGGCGGAGGTATTTTTTATGTCGGCGAGCGGAAGCAGCGGTTTGGGCCGAGTTTCCTGTGCTACGCTGAGGATACACAGAGAAGGCCTGAAGGCGACCCTGCCTCCGGAGGAATTCAACTCTACTCCGACATCGAGAAGTAGTCTATCCTCCCTACATATGCATGCTATTAATTATTTTTTCCGTTCTGACAGTTGACATGCTTAGTCATTGATCGTAGTCTATTTGACGCTAATACGAACCTCATCTATGACTGAATTTTTTTCAGCGAAGCCTGAATTTTATTCTCCTCTATCTTTTGTGGTCATGAAGATTGATATTTCTCTCTCTCTACTGGTGGTGTACATCTAAAATTTGTCCACGCAGATTCTTAGGACATCTATGGCCCCATGAGGAAGAGTGCAATAAATGAGAGGCCACTCACAAAAGACCAAGAGGCCGTTCACCAGACGAGATACAAACACCCGAGCCAAAACTAAAGGCTGACTGGATGTAGTCATAAAGCGGAAGGCCGACCGAACCCGGAGAAGGAAAAAAAACAAATGATTTATTTGAATTTGAACCAATTCGATTAGAATAGAACATAAGCATCCAAACCAATCACTACAAGAAAGTCGACCGAAGGCAGTAACCTATCTTCCAGTAGATTCAACCTGTGGAAAAACTTAGTTCCTCTATATGACCAGCCATCGCATTGATGCCTTTGAGATTTCTCATCAGGAATCAAGAATTAACACTACAATACAGTTTTGTAGATATCCCTCAGACTTTTCTTGCTGAGGAGTGGGCCACCTTTCACATCACAGTGATTCACCTTTTGCTTGATAGTCTGATCTAGCTTCGCCATCAGAAGCTCCTCACCAGCGATTGAGGGTTGACGACCAGACAAGTTTACTCGATCGGCAAAGCCTAGCCGACTGAATCAGTATTGTTGACCCAAAACTAATCAAGCTCAACTAATCGACAACGCTGACCGACTGAAACGGCCTTACCAAGAAGAGGCCATAAAAGCTCAACCGACAATGTTAAAGAGCAGCCGGATGATAGACACATATATGTAAAATGCCTAAAATATCTTGTACAACCCCTATTAAAACAGGGGTAGAAATGTAATGTTACGATATTGTATCTTCTTCCCTATAAATAGATATATCATTTTATAAGAAAAAGAAGATTGACAAGATGTATTATTGTTCATTACTATTTCCTCTTCCCTCTCTCCCATTTCTTACGCTCTATTCATTGGGGTGTGATTCACGGACAAATCATGATTCAATAGTGGGATTAATAATTTTTTGCACCATGAAGTCATTTATGTTTTGTATCTCATAGATCAGTAAACTTGAAATATAAATTTTCCTTTCTTTTGCTTTCTTTGTGGAAACTTTGGAGTTATAAATAATATTAAAAAAATAATAGCTTGATTTTCTTTCCCATAAGTGATGAGCTATTTCTGCCATAATTTAGCACTTAAAATAAATTGTAGTGGAAATTTTTAGCGTTTTTGAAGTTTTTTCAAAATGAAAATAACAATTAGTTATGAGATTTTTAGAAATATGAAGAGTTACATCTGGTTCTTAATGATACGTGTTTTTTATTTCTGTTTGTTAACCTTTTTTATGCTTTGCCGAAATTTTAGCAAGGAAAAAATCATTTTTCTTTCACTTTGCAGATTGATTACTGAAACAGCAAGACAATCTCAGGATGACTGGGGTGGCACTCAAGATTGGAAGGAGATTGAGGTCCTCTTTTTATGCTCAAAACATTCATAATTTTATTATCCTTTGATAATTTGCTCTAGAATTGCTCGTATTATGAAGGAATGTCAATTAGTAAACTTTAGTTACATTAGATTACTATATTTCTATCATAATAGCCGAGATTGTTATTGACTATAATGATTATAAAGAGGAGAATAAAAGGCTTGCCAATTTGCCAAATTACTCATCTCTTCTCAACTTTACTAGATATCTATCAGGTCGTTGGTATATAAATTTGCTGCAACGACCAATCCTCTTAATACTCTTTTTCAATTCTTTTGATGTTCATTGTGATATAATTTATCCAGATTTGCCCATAAAATATTTTGCAGAAGCAGCCATTCAACACAAATCAAAACAAATCGTCCCGTAAAGATAACATGTATCTTTTCAAAATCTGTTTTAATCATAATTTTGAACATTCAAAAATTAGACTGGATGTTCTACTTGAAAATGAAGAGTTTTAACTTCAATGGTCGAACGAAAAGTCAAAATGACATGATAAATATTCACATTTTCTTGAGATAATTTAAAAAAATATAATAATGATGTAGTAGTGATATTTTAACTAATTTAATATATACTATTCTAATTCTAGGTAATTTAGTCTTGATTTTTTTTCATTATAATTTTAAATTAATTTTGTATGTCTTAATACATTAATTATTTTCTTTATTTTTATTCTAAATATTTCATTTTTAGCCAACCTATTAAAATAAAAAAGCCAAAAACAGATCAATACTTAATAGGTAGGTTAATCAAAGACTTGTCTGATTCAATAGTTTGTTAGTTCAACTCCGATTTAACTCCAGTTCTAGTTGGTTTTGTATGGAAGAAGCAATTTCAAAATCACAACGAATTAGCTAAAGGATTGATTCATTGTTGAACTAGTAGAACTAGTTGATTTGGTCTTGTCCGTTCTGGGTTTTAAAACCATGATAATTATTATTGTTTTGACAATTATTTAGCAAAATCATGTCAGATATAAGGTTGCAAGTAATTTTATAGTGTGATAGTCTAGAAAATTTGGAAGTTATATAACAACCCACTTCTAGGAATTAATAACGTGCTTTTATCCTGTAAAATTTTTCGCATGATTTGATCAAAGTATCCATTTCATGAAACTAAATTTTTCTCTAGCATTATAATGATTAACTTCAACTTGGCTGGCAAGCATGACGTTGGACTGTTCTTTTTCAAGAAAATTATGCTCAATTCAGATGAACCTTTGTCAAATCCCAACATTAATTGCCGCATCTATGCTTAGATAGTAATATACATTGAAATGGCAAAATGTTTGCTATTTTTATACCTTTTATTTTGTCATTCCACTATAATTTCCAATCATTGTGGTTTTGCTCGTAATGAGCTTATTATCAATTTTTTTTTGAAAAATTAGTAGCTCTAGATGCTTACTATTAGGACTAATGATATCTTGTGATACTTGTCTGAATTCTTAATTGTTTCTGAGAGGAAACCATGATTCTGTTTAAGCGGGATGGTAATCGGGATGTTATTTTTCTCCTTTGGTTGTAATTTATGACTCAATATAATTATGTTATTTTATAACTTTGTGGAAAAAAAATTACTCTGGTTTATGATATTTGGAGATTTTGTTTTTCTAAGTTATCTTAATTGGAGAGTTGTAGCCTGTTTTTTTTTAAGTTGTGAATCTATAACTTGAAAAGAATATGTTGTGGATTCTCCCACTCGAGGCGCAAATCACTTAAACCATCATCTTGTCGTCCTCCTTGCTGTTTACAGCCCGGAGAGCTGCCAAAATTTCTTTAATCCTTTTTTAAATCTTGTTGAATTCACATATCCTTTTTCTATTGCTATTTTGCAGTCTCTCCCATTAATTCTGTTTTTAAAAACTTCCTAGAATCCTTAAATGTTGTCATTTGGTATTAGAGTCAAACTTTAATTTCAATTCCTAATTTTAACCCAAAATTTGTAAAATCTAACCTTTCTACACTTACCAATTAAACTTAAACCCTTGGCCAACTTAGTTAGATAGTCTTATCTACCTGAAACTTTAAAGTGAGGAACAAATCACAATTTCGTCAAGCAGAAACTTTCAACGAGGTGTTTAAGAGCTTAACAATATTATATGTAGCAAAAATCTTTCAATTGCAGCAGGAGCTTGCTAATTTTTAAAGGAATCAATTTAGGGAAATTACCCACAACAATAACGGTGATTACCTGGATGAAAGAGATGACTAAAACCCTTTTTATGAAGAAGCCTCTAGCTACGAAAAGCTAATTTGGTGTTGGTTTGAACTTCAATATTTTGCAGTGAATGTGGATTTGTTAGATTTTGATGGTTATATAGCTTCAGACAAACTTGTTGAGTGATTCCAAACAGTGACATGGGATATTGAGTATAAGGATCTTCTGTCTGATAAAAGGGTGAAGCTAGATACCATTAAGCTGAAAATGAATGCTTCTTTATGATGGGGGGATTTTTAAGATCTTTCAGTATTAAGAAAAAAATAAGATCACAACCTGATCTTAGAAGAAGAAGATGCACTATAAGTATTTCACGACACAATACCAAAAGGTTATCTTTTTTAAGATCTATCATTTGTAGCAGAATGATCTCTCAATATGCTAAGTTTGAATAACATATAGTGTTAGCTTGTAGAGCCAGAGAAGAACACCATAGCGTGATATCTTGGAGGATTACGGTTATCCATTGGCATTATAGGGCAATCACAACCTTTTTGGAATTAACAAAATATGCAGATCTTAGCCCTAAATGTGGAGAAGTAGCATAGTATTATCAGGTCAAACTCTACCTAGAAAACCTATTTAAAATCTAGAAGTACTCAGACCAATGACTGAGTAACCTATTGCTTTAGAGCTCGAAGCTAGCTTGTGCATTGTTTGACCAAGTAAATCGATTTGACTTCAGAAGTTCCATCAAGTGCATCCACTATAGAACTGAAATTTTTTATATCTTTTGTAAAAATATATTAGTTCATTAAACTGTCATACATTACTAAATAACTGCGTGCTGTCCCAATTCACTATAGTCTCAACTCTCACTAGTTTCATTTCAATGCAAAATAATTTATCCAAGAAAACATGTCTGTAGTGTGAACACTTCTTAGAGTGGTCATATAGCTACTTTATTTGATGAAGAACTCCGAACACTTGTTGTAAGTACTGCAAATGCTCATCATTTAAACTATTGTATACCAATATATCGTCAAATTACAAAACAACAAACTTCTCAGCAAAGCTAAAAAAATCTTATTCATCAACCTCATAAATGTATTTGAGGTTTCGAACACGCCAAAAAGCACAATTATCTACTTATACAAGTTGATCTCGCGCCTTAAATGTGATCTTCTACTCATGTGGGAGCTTTATTCGTATTTGTCCATATCTACTTTACAGATTTTTTTTAAAAAGATGTTAGCTCCATCGAGCTAATCAAATAAGCCGTCTAATCTCGAGATCGGGAGCTAGATGTGTGTCGTTACCCAAAATTTTTTGGTATAATCAAATCTGGTACGACACACTGATTGGTGCTTTTACGGAGTAGTCCCTAAACCATCAAATGCTCAGCCTGCTTCTATAGCTCCTCATATTTTGCTGGTCACATTAGGTAGAATGGTCAGCTGGGCAGCACTGATTCTAGGATGTTGCCTATAACTTGTTAAATCTCTCGTTAGGGTCGTAATCTTGGTAGTAGGCTGTTAGTTAGAATCAAGTGAAACTTCTTCAATAGAAATCGCATTATCTCAGGTATTGGCTCTTCTGTCTCATTATTCTCTAATATCATCAAGACTAGCCCCACTGGCACTTCTTTCATAGCATATAAAAATGTTGCATAAGATATTATATCTCCTATTTCTATTCTAGTAATCATCACCATTGACTCCTTCAATGGATGAAGTATAATACTCTTCCTTTCTTTAATAAATTAGTAGGTATTTTTGTGGCAATCATGAAATGTACTCATGTTGTGCTATAACTGTCGGTCCGAAAGAATCAACGTTAATCTCTTTCCCCCTTTTTCAACCAAGTTAGGGAATACTGTTGATAATAACTTTGGATAGTGAAACTCAATTTATCCACCATTTATGTAGACGCCACTTTTTTACAACTACTTTAGATTGATGAAAGAGAGATTTCTTACAGATTCTGTTGGAAAACACAAATCTAGAGTTGGTTGTCCATTTAGAATAAATAAGAGGATTAATGCTAATGCCTACAAGATTGATCTATCGAGAGACTATAATATTTTTGCCATATTTAATGTCATTGACCTGTCATCGCACTATGAGGATTAGGATGCTTCTAGAAAAGAAGGTGATGCTTCTCTTACCTCTGGTTAATGACACGAGAGCGGAGTCAACGATCCTGCGTATGCACGATTGAAATCGGGGTACGATTTCCATCCTGCAATACTAGAGGCAGGAAATCTTCTACCTGCTATGGGATTGCTTGGTCCTATGGCCTCTTATTTACTATATTTAATTTTTTAATTAGTATTTCAGTTATGTCTTATTATAAGTTTGTTATATTTCATTTATGATATTTGGAGATTTTGTTTCTCAGTTTTCTCTTATTTGGAGTGTTGTGGCCTAGTTTTCTTCAAGTAGTGAATCTATATCTTGAAAAGAACTGGTGGTCGATCCTCACTCGGTAGACGCAGCTCGCCAATGCCATCATTTTGCCATTCTCCCTGCTGTTTTCAGCACAAACAGCCACAGAATTCTTTTAATCACCTTCCAAATCTATCAGACTCTGCATATCATTTCTCTCTTTATATTTTGCAATCTCTCCCCAACTAAATCTGATTCTTAAACTTTATAGAAATCCTAAAACGTTGTCTTTCAAGTAGCTAAATGTCTTTGTCAATCAACCTTTTCTTTTCATGGAGAAGTTATAACATTGTTTGATCAGAAATACATGAGGTTTGAGTTTAGCTATTTCTTAAGGATATAAACTGGACTGTTTTTCTTAGCTAAGCCTAAATCTTATGGTGATCTAAAAGTTTAGATTGATAGAATAACTAGAATATGTTGATGCAAGGGTGACTATATATAGACAATAGAATAGAGTAGTAGAAGCAAGCACAAAAATCAAAATATCCGTAATAATGCTGATATATTATAGTAATAATGGCAATAGATTCCTACTATAAATATTTGCCAAATGTTATAATATTTATATAAAAATGAATAATACAAATAACTTTAACATAGATACAGTTAATACTAGTTATTTTTCAAGAAGCTGGTAGTTTGGAATTGCCCATAGAGTTACTGAACTGAATATCTCATGTGATTTTTTGCACTCGTTGATGATTTTGTGATGATTATTATCAAATGGCTCTCTTACTAACATTGAGACTGATTGGTAATTATAAATGTTTTCTTTTAGTACTTTCTCTGGCATAGCATTGATAATTACTAATCTAAAAATCTTTGTACCTTGTAACTTAATCATGCTTGTCATTCCATGTTCAAGTCACCATAGGCAACCTCATCCTTGGACATATGCTATCTTGTAATACTTCTTGAAATGGTTCATGATTGAATTATCCCTTTTGGCATATTAAAATTTTAAACTAATTGTATTTATTGTTTTGTTAATTCATTACTACTCAAATCTGTTATCATTTTTCAAATCGATTTAAATCTCATGGGTAATATACTTTCAATCTTACAGTGGTTATATGCTCATCTAGCTGTCAGACTAAAATGTAGTTAGCACTATGCTTTCTCATTGTGATAAATAAGAATTATCACCTTTGAAAATCTAAAAGATGAAATTAGTAATTATGAAATGAACTGCAATAGATCTCCGTAAAAAGCAAGGGAAGGTGCGAACGAAGTGAAATGCTTCATGTGACTTGGTCGCTTTGTATTTATTCCCGATATTAAATCTGAAATATCCTATGTTTGTAATTACTTTTCTTCTTTGTCAAAATACTTATAATATGTACTCATGTACAATTTTTAATAATGTTTTGTTTAAATATAGGGCACTTGGGTCCTCAGACCAAGGTACACAAGTCCAACATCAATTATTCATTTTATTGGGGGTATATTTGTTGGGGCTGCACCTCAACTTACGTATCGTTTGTTTCTTGAGCGGCTCTCTGAGAAGTAAGTTATTTTAGTTTAATTTCTTATGGTATTAGCCTCTGATCATTTTTGAATTATCATCACATATTGTTTTATTTGAGCTTAGATTTTTCTTATATTTATCAGCACTTTCTAATCTTTGTACCCATGAGTCTACCTGATTGCTTTATAATAATTCGGTGTAAAAGCTTATCATGATCATTTAATATAGAAATACAAAACAAATTAGTGGTTGTTCTCTTCTACCTCAAATGGGTTTATTTATTATCTCAATTTTGCGCTGGTATTCACGTTTCAAAATACCTGCACTCGATGTAAGTTCTTTAGGTATTTATTTGATATTTTCTTTTTTTGTTTATTTTACTTTATTTTTTATGTGGATCTCCTCCAAAACAAAAAGGCCTATTACAAGTAATAATCTATTTATGACATTAATGCTAACTTAGTATTGAATATATTAATCGTTGATCATTAAAACCAATGTTTGTTATTTCTCCAGTCATTTTTTTCCTTTTCCTACTTAAACCGGACCCAAAACTCTGAGTTTCTTTTAATTAGGGGTCTTTTGGTAATAGCAACACCTTTTACTAGTAGTTGTTCTCCTCTACCTCAAATATGCGTATTTGGCATCTCAATTTCATGAAATTTGGGCAGATATTCACTTTTCAAAATACCAGTACTTTATGTAAGTTCATTATGTATTTATTTTATATTTTCTTTTTTGGTTCATTTTACGATTTTGTTTTTGTGGACCTCCTCCAAAACAAAAAGGCCTATTACAAGCAATAGTATATCTGTGACATTAATGCTAAATTAATACTAAATATTTTAATATTTGATCATTAAAACCATTGTTTGTTATTTCTCGTCATTTATTCCTTTTCCTACTTAAACGGGATCCAAAACTCTGATTTTCTTTTAATCAGGGGTGTTTTGGTGATCGCAACACCTTTTGCAAGTCGTTTTGATCACTTCTCTATAGCTGATGAAGTGCAGTTAATGTATGACAGATCTGTCCGGTCTTTGACTGACATAGTAAGCTGGTTTTTAGTGAAATAGTTGTATTTTTATAATTTACACAAAATTTAATTTTTTTTACTTCTGTGCAGGAAAAAGATCTTCCAATATTCGGAATTGGCCATTCCTTGGGATCTGTAATTCACCTTTTGATTGGTACTGATTAGTTAAACTGTTTTATTGCATTTTAACTTTTCATAATATAGAGTGATGTAGTTATTTTACTCTGATTGTTCGATTGCACATCAGGTTCAAGATACGCAGTGCAAAGGAATGGGAATATGTTGATGGCTTTCAACAACAAGGTTCCTGGTTTTCTTCTTTGCTCTGATTTCTTACTGCTTATTGTACATATTGCTCCATTCAAATCGTTAAAGTCATATAATTTTTGTTTTATTTTATTTTTGAAATTATTAATTAAAGTACAAATGAAGGCCTTGGCGATTAAACAAAGTTGCACAAAGTTGTTTAACTTTTCATGGTTAGTGAAGTATGTTTTATTATGAGGTGAATGTATATGGTTAACACATGGGTTAAATATAGCCTCATTGATGTTCACCTCCATTATTTGGATAATTATCAAGGAACTAACCAAAAACCCTCCCTGTTCTGGATCATGCTCTAGGGCGTGCTTGCATTTGCACAATAATAAGCATGTATAAATTGCATAGATTAGTATTTGCATTCTTATTTTAGGGAATGCCTTATTTGGGGCACTAGGGCACTTGGCACAACTGTGAAGTAAGGCAAGAGGTAAAGTGTTTGATTTTTTTTTATAACTCAACTTTATTATGAACACCATATTCAAAACGAGATGTAACATTTATAGCGTCAAAATAATAATAAATTTCATTCATAAAGTTAAATATATAATAAATGGAGCTCAAAAGTAATACTTTGTGTATAGTAGAGCTATGTATAAATAAAAAATGTCGAAGAAATAAACTTGCGAATAGAATATACAAAAGTAAATAATAACAAGAAGAAAATGCCATATAAAGTATAAAATATTTGGGCTATAATCCACAAAAATCAAATTGTAGGTATTACTGCTGGGAAGCTCTTGCTTAAAGGCAATGACATGCATGAGAACTAGAAAAAGTGTCCAAATATATATATTTTTTTACTTTTAACTCACTCGTATTTTTTCCTTCCCTCCCTCTTCCTTGTTACGTCTCCAAATGAAAACACTATTTTTCTACCGCGATGCTCATAGGAGATGGGGAAAAATATGCTGGTCCATATAGCAGATCAGCTCACTAATCATCAACCCGTGTGACAACCACTTATTTCCTCTTTTGATGGCCTTTAGATTCCAACTGTCATGTTAGTGCTCATTGGTGACTACCCATTTGAGAAACCTTCTTATATGGCACTAGTTTTAATAATTACAAACCTCAAATCACTCCATCAGTCACCTCTCTGGTCTCCAGTTTTACCCTTGGCTAAATGAAGGAGGAGTGATGCATTTTAACATCATACAATTGTCTTGTTTAATAATGCTTAAATGTTGTTAGTAATAAACTTGACGAACACAAGTAGATGGAATTAGATGGCAGGTGACATGCTTATAGAGGTTAGATATAATTTTAAGAAATAAAGAAAAACACATGAAACAAACATATGTACTAGATTTTTGAATTTGGGCTCAATGTTTCTTAGAAAAATTCAACAAGGTTACCATATATGTGGAAAAAGAAAAGAAATGTAAAACAAGAGCTAGTGGAAGATGGCAGGAGTAAGAACAAGCTTGGCATGCTGCCTTCTATGAGAAAGATGCTCTAAAAAAACCTAGAAGGGAAAAAAAATGTGAAATTGAAGATAATCAAATAAAACCTAATAGCTTAAATCTTCTTTACAAATTTCCAATCATATATTGTAGTACAAGCTCAAAAAGTGAAAAAGAAAAGAAATAACTGTTCTTAGATATTGCCAAAGATATGAAGGAGACAATGTGAAGCGCGGCGGACGCAGAAGTTTTCTGTACGGGATGCTATCATGCATGTGCACGATTCTGCGAACGTTGCTGTAATACCAGACACAAGAGTGTAGTAGCGGCTTGGACCGATTCATTATTGCATCTTTGAGGGTTGATCGACTTGTCTGCCTATGAGAATGCCACCTACAAGGAGTGGGGTTCACTCCTTAGTTAACCTAATATTATACATGTTATTTTTTTGTGTTTTAGGGCAATTTTTTTGGCATGAGTTTGTTTAAGACAGCCGTCGGCATCCGTTTACTCCCTTCCATGGCTTTATCCGAGGGATTGGGTGGTGCTCCGACTGTATTTCTATTCCGAGACGGTGTTTGTCATCCCTATTTCCATTTTACATCTTCCTGACACTGCTCTCGCCTGTCGTTCCCTGCTGCAGCCACCTGAAACAACTACAGAGGCTTTTCTTCTTTGAATTTTTGCATTCCAGCTCAAGTTTTTTGCGATTCCAACCCTTGTGCTTCCTGCGATCACTTTTTCATTCACCTAAAATCCCCTCCCTTTCTCGCCATATTCCAGTCATCCTGAACCATGTCTCTACCACCTAACTGCTGTCCAACCCTTCCTCGTTGTCGCCACCATTTCAGCTCTCCCTCCTTACCGTTACAACCCGGACATATTTCCCACATCTCTCCATGTTGTTTTCTTGTTGTTTAGTACCTGTGAAACAACCACCTCATTTGTTTTCTGCTTGCTAACTGCCATTTCCACCCTCGTGCCACCTTCGAAGCCCTTACCAACCACCACTACCACCACACTGGGATCCACACTAGTTTGAGTGTTTGTGTCATGTCAGTTGTTATGTCAGATTTTCAGGTGTCTTGTGGTTTTGTGTTGGGTTTTATTGCATATTTGCTTTCAGTAATATCATTTACATTCCTATTACTATTTAGGTTAACTATGGTATTATTTGGTATGAGAGTTAGTCTAACTCTAGTCTTATCCTAGGATTTTTAACATCCATCAATACCCAACCCCACTTCCAACAAAAATTCCCTCACTTTGCTAATTTTTCAAATCGGCCACCTACACCATTTCTTTCTCACCCTACATTATCCCTATACACCCTCTTCCACCTACCTAAACCCAAATCCTAATAATGCTACCGAGGAGATAATAGTTGAACGCCGATCAGGAGCTCATTATGCAAGTGACACAATGACAACTCGACTAAGTGCTATAATGGCTCGATGAAATTGAGGAAAGTATACCATCCAAACGGGTCACCTATAGCCAATGGTGACTTACTTAATCAAACGAATGAAGTGAATATCTCGCCATACAGATGCCAAGGATGAGAACCTTTGCCCCAAAGACTTGACCTAAAACATCTGAGAAGCCATAATTATTTAAGGTAGATTTGCCTCATTTTGATGGTCACTAAGATTCATACGAGTTCATCAAGTGGCTCCAAATCGTGGAACCTTTCTTTGGGTACCAAGGGCTCCCACCGGATAGAATGATGAAATTAGTTGCCAACAACTTAAAGAAGAGTGTTTTGTTTTGGTGAAAAATTTAAAGCTCATACGCCAACATGAGGGAAAGTCATGATCACTAACTGCTCTATCACGACTCGACATAAGACTTGGAATTAACTAAGATGGAATAGATGATAGAAAATTAAATTTTTTATTATTCTATTTCTATCTCTAACAGTTATTATCGACACATTAAATGAAAGAACCACTAAAAATTCAATTAAGGGTGCGTTTGGGGGAACTTATTCACAGCGGTGGTGTTTTCAAAACACCACCGGCTGTTTGAATATGGCGTTTTGGAGGGATTTTCAAAAACGTCGTTAGCTTCTTTCTATTAAACGCAGATCGCAGGTAGGACCCCGCGATCCGCGTTTCGTTCGAGCGATTTACATTAAAGGCCCTTGTTCACCTTCCTCCCGGACGGATCGCTCCCCCCTCGCCATCTCCTCTCCTCCTCTCCCTCGTTCGCCTTCCTCCCGGACGAATCGCTCCCCCCTTGCCATCTCCTCTCCTCCTCTCGCACGCTCGGAGAACGGGCGAAGCATAGGCAGCGATTTCACCAGGCCGAAGGAAGAGAACCCGGAGCCGAAAAATTGAGAGTCCCGCTTGAGGTTCGCAGGCAGAAAAATCAGAGAAGGGGATCAGAAAGCAGAGTGAGAAAAATGGTGGGCTTCTTCCTAATCGGATATCGCCTATTCTCTGCGCTTATTTCAGGTAAGAAGCTCTTCCTATTTTACATGATTTCCCGATTAATGACTGGAAGTGAAACCCTTGTGATTCTTCATTAGGCGTTTCATTGGAACTGGTTCTGATGATTTTTATTAGTCCATCGATCGTTTATTTCACTGTTTTATTATCCATTATTTTTATGGAGAATACATTCTGCATCAACGAAATTAGGGGAGTTAGAGAATCTGGGGCTTCGGTTGATCGTTGTTACTGCAAAGTAGAATCAAATTTTGGTTGTTTAGTAGAATCAAATTCTCTTTCATTGATGAATTCTGTTTTCTCATTGTCGAATTCTGTTTTCTTGGGGTTTTAGTGAAGGGATTTATTCATTTATTTTTGTGTCCGAGTTGGTGAGGATAGAAAAGAGTAGTAAGAAATTTTTATTGTGCTTAGATTAGAAGGATTTGATGATTTTACGGAGATGAAGCTTTGGACCTCGTCCGCAAGTTAATTAAGGGTTTTGATTTTTTTTGTGCTTAGAACAGGGGCAGAATAGTCATTTAACCAGATTCAGATGTTTTCAAAACACACAAACCAAACAGCTAGTCAGCTTATCAGAATAAGCTACTGATCAGCAGATTATCAGAATAAACTGCTTATCTGGATAAGCTGGATAAACTACAACTGTCCCAAACAGACCCTAAGTTAACCAAATAAAGAGTTACCTTTCCATTTGTCGCTTATGACTTCTGTAAACATTATTTCTTCCATTATTCATCTTAATAAAAAATTTAAACCTGAAAAAAATATTTAAAATAACATAATGAGTTATCTAAAGATAACATAGGAACAATCACATTTCTAAACAACAGTAACCTAAGGAAAAGAGGTAACAAGCATTCTAAACTTTTATTTTTGATTCTAGAAAATCATATAATAGTCTAATGTATTCATTACATTTATTTAATGAAAATTTTCTAAACTTCTACTATGTCATAATTTTAACTTTACTTTTATTTAATATCTATCTCAAAATCACCGTCAAAAGATAACCTAACACACCCATGGTCGATATCATCTCATCACCCCAACGGTTTGCGATCTAAATATCGTTATTTTCTAAGGTGGAAAGACCTTTATCTGCCCCTGATTGATATTATCCCAT